CAAGAGAGCCAGTGAAGGGCAGCAGGAGGCAGTTCTGAGGAAGCTGATGTGCTAGAGGAGGGCCTGGAGATGTGGTCTCACGCCGCACGGCATGCAGGGCCCGACAGCGCTGTGCAGGCTGGCATGGCTGCCTTGGAGGCTCAGCCGGGGAGAACACCAGTGTGGTCCAGGATCGTGGGGAAACAGTGGGTGGAGCCTAACTGTCCTTGTTAGTCTGGAGCTACTGAGTTTTTTTAATAAATATTTTTGAGACTGTGTTGCCATCTGCTGGTTCACTGCCCAGAGGCCTTAAAGGCCCAGAGAGGCAGCCCAGGCCTCCAGCAATGGGCAGAGACACGAACGCTTGTGCCGTCTCTGCCGCCTGCCAGAGCTTGCCTTGGCAGTGCCCGGTGACTGGCATCAGACAGGGAGTGCGTCTGTCCTTGCTGTACATGGCAGGATATGCTCGCTTCTCTGCCCGCCGGGAGCCCACGCCCGGAAGCCCCTCCCAGCGAGGGGCAGCTCCTCGTGGGGCGAGAGGCCAGCAGACTCATCACTCCGTGCGTTCCCGTTCCCAGCAGATGGGGGACCCCTACACTGTGCGCAGCAGAAACTGAGTCAAGGGCCCCTTCCCTGGATGTCCTTGTGGTCCGAGGGATGGAGTCAGCTGCTAGGTGTCCAGACAGCTGGGCCTGGAGATAGAGCTGGTGCTCATGCCACCGGCCACATCAGCCTTGGGCCACTCAGGGCCTGCTCACAGGAAGGTGTGGGGAGCCGCAGCCGAGCAGCTGTCCGTCTCCCTGTTGGTGGAAGGCAGGACAAGGCCTCGGCCGAGCTCCAGCTCCGGGCTCCTGCTCCTCAGTGCCCCTCGGCATCCCTGCGGGATGTGGCCTGCCACGCCTCCAGCAACGTCCGCTTGCTCGTCTGCAAGATGACAACTGACAGACAGATCCCACCGGGGTTTACAGTTCCCAGTGACTGCCTGGCACAGGCACAGTAAGTGTGTAGTTGTGGGCTTAAACTTACACAGAGTAGAAGACTAAAGAGATACAAAATTATTAACATAGAAACATTTTGGGTCTTTGTAAATTATACTATTTTTAAAGCTGGTTATTCAGTGTTATTAAATGTAGATTAAATAATGAGAGGTTCACACAACACTTGAGGCAAGGCAGAAAACAGAACAAGGGAGCTCTCAAATGAAGGTGAAGAACAGGGTACAAAACCCTAAATGCAGTGTGCTGTTGCTTGGCGCTTCTGCTACAAATGTGAAGTTTCTTAATTCAACCACAGGGCTGGATAGCACTTGTGTGCAAAGTGTACTGTGCTGTAAATCTTTCTAACTAGCATGGTTTGACTCACGTAATATTCCATGTGGTCTCCTGTTTTGTCAGAAGACAAGAACGGAGGCCGGGTGTTTGCTGTAACAGTTCGCAGCGCGGCCCTGCCACGTCTCTTGTTGGTGGCCTTGGGTCAAGTGCTGGCTCCACGGCTGAGTCAGGCTTTTCCGTAGGCGATGGCTCTGACGGGCGGGGCCTGCCGTGTGAGAGACACTGGCAGTGTCAGCGCTAAGCTCGGTGTGGTCCAGCCCCTGGTGCTGCAGAGCGAGCCAGCGGGCAGGAGAGCTCTCAGGTTTTTGTTTCTTTCTGTCTGCCTTTCAAATGAAATAAATACAGTATGTTTCAAAGTGAAACCGCAGGGCCAGTGTTGTGGTACAGATGCCCACCTCTCAGTCGGTGTCACTAAGACCTGGCTGCTGCTCCACCTGTGTGTGTGTCTGTGGCCCCCATTTATATAAACTCTGCCTTCCAAATTAAAACAAACAGATAAGCCCCTTTTAAAGAAGTAAAATCCTGGGACTGGGCTTGTAACGAGTAGGTAATGCTAGCACTCCATGTGAGCAGAGTTTGGGTCCTGGCTCACCAACCTTCCATCTAGCTCTCTGCTCATGTGCCTGGGAAAGCAGCGGCTGGTGGCCCAAGTGCTTGGTCCTGGCTGCCCAAGTGGCTCAGCCCCGGCCACTGCAGCTATTTGAAAAGTGAACCAGCAGATGGAGGACCTGGCTGTCTCTCTCTGACTTCGGTGTTCAAGCAAATAAAATTAGATTTTTAATGGGTTCCTTATTTCCCCATGAATTTGCAGTGGACATACTGCCATTCTAGAATGCAGCGTTTGCAGGGCTGGACAGAGAGCACGGCTGACTTACATATCTCTACACTTCACTTGAGACACATTCACTCAGTTTTCACTTTAGAGTAATTAAACTACAACATATTCACATGCTGAAATGCAAAAATCAAGGAAAGAATGCAGCAGAATATTATAAATGCTTTTTAAGCATTTGGTATGTTCAATTAAACTCATTCTTACAGATTAATGTTAACATTGGGCAATATCTGATCATGTGAAGACATTTTCAGAGATAAAAGTATGTGCTTTTTTTAAAAAAAGATTTATTTTTATTGCAAAATCAGATATACAGAGAGGAGGAGAGACAGGGAGGAAGATCTTCCATCTGATGATTCACTCCCTAAGTGAGTGCAACAGCTGGTACTGAGCTGATCCGAAGCCAGGAACCTCCTCTGGGTCTCCCACACAGGTGCAGGGTCCCAAGGCTTTGGGCTGTCCTCAACTGCTTTCCCAGGCCACAAGCAGGGAGCAGGATGGGATCTGGGGCCACCGGGATTAGAACCAGTGTCTATATCCTGGTGTGTACGAGGCAAGGACTTTAGCCGCTAGGTTACCGTGCTGGACTTGAGTGCTGCTTCATCTTAAAAAGAACTCAGGTAGAGCCCTGGGGGCGGGGGGTCCATCAGGGCTTGGGTCACCTAGCCCGGGCCCTTGGGACAACCAGCAAGTGGGGTGCCTGGCCCAGGTCCTTGGCCTCACCTGCAAGAATAGGCCCTCCTGAATGAACAAGGTGGAGCAGTGGGCACAGACCCCGATGCCCATGGAGAATATGGCAGTCTGTTTGGTACCATCACAGAAGAAGAACAGGGCAGATTGGATGAGCAGCCAGCCAAACAGTGACAGCAAAACCTGGGTGAGTGGAGACCCGAGGCTGACCATGCCAGCCAGTGGGCACTGGGAGGACTGCGTCACCCTTGGATCGGCGAAATCAACAGCACTCAGATCTATCCAAACTGCCTGGGCAGAACCCTCGGAACACGCACCATAGTGGGCCCTGGGCTGGTATCGGGTGGCCGTTCACCGTCCCTGGGTACTCCGACATTTGGGAGACTAGATGTGGCTTCCCCCTTTATTTCTGCCTTACCCCTAGAATCAAGAAGAAATAGCAAATTTGGAACTAATAATTTCACCCATTTATCCTTTCCATCCTGATTAACTATGTAATTACCATGAAAAATAAAAGGAACTGACATAGACGAAGGATTTGTAGTAACACAGGGTAGTGCTTGCAGTCCAGCAGTGGAATCAGCCTGCTATGCTACCGCGTCAGCCCCCACGTGTGTGTGAAAAGCATCTGGAGGCAGAGATGCCTGCTGCGCCGTATCTACTTCGCAGTCGGCTAGTCTCCATCATACAGTTCATCTGTGAGAGTGTGTGTGTACAGGGTCACTGGTGTGTCTGTTTTGTATTTTACATGCATGTCACCTAAGAGCGAACACATGATATTTGGTCCTTTGGGACTGGCTTATTTCACTGAGCACAATGGTCTCTGTACCTTGACAGTATGACACTAGGTTTTCCACTGTTGCCTAAACCTCCTGGGCCACGCTGTGTTACACAGCAGGATGCTGGAGTTGTGACTGTTGCTGAAGGGCTGTACTGCTGTGATACTGTGAGGGAATGGACAGGGAAATCCCTGCACCTGCAAAACTGTGTTATGGAAAATAATAGCAATTTAATGATACAAAAAATATGTAGTTAAAAAAAGACATACATGAACGGCTGGGAGAGGCATGCTGAGTGGCTTTTCCCGGGGCTGGTACAGTGCCGCAGCGGCTAATCCCCGTCGGAGACTCCGTCATCCGTAGGGGGCCAGTTTGTGTCCCAGCTGTTCCACTTGGGATCCAGCCCCCTGCTTACATCTGAGGCCCCGGGGGAAGCTGCTGGCTCCCTGCTTTGGGTCAGCTCAGCTCTGGCTGTTGCGGCCATTTGGTAAGTGAACTAGCGGACAGGAGATCTTACCCCTATGTCTCTCCTTCTAAAATAAAAAGATTTACAGGGAAAAGGAGAGGCAGAAAGCAGTCTTCTGTTCACTGGTTCACTCCCCAAATGGCCACAGTGGCCAGAGCAGACCCAAGGCAGGAGCCAGGAGCTTCTTCCTGGTCTCCCACACGGGTGGGTGCGGGGTCCCACGGCTTTGGGCTGTCCTTTACTGCTTTCACATCCCTGTGCACAGAGCCGGATGGGAAGTGGAGCAGCCAGGACACGAACTGATGCCATATGGGATGCTGGTGCTTGACAGTAAAGGATTAGCCTGTTGAGCCATGGTGCCAGCCCCTCTTTTTAGGGAAAAAAGAAACAAAAGGAAGGAACGAAAGGAAGGAAGGAAAGGAAGAAGGGAAAGTAGTTTTTCCTTGAGCAGTAGCAGCCTGGGTGGTTTATTTTTTGAATGTCTTTCAAGTTTTTATTCGGTGCTTATGTAGTTGAGGAAAATAAAATCATTTCAAAATGTCTTATGTGTATTTGTTGATTTTTTTAGACTACAGAAAGAAATATGGATTTGGCTGCAAAATACCAAATTCTGCTCGTAGCCTGGATGCTCGCTGAAGAGCAGGAAGTAGAGAAGAAATCATATATGAGTGTGTGTAACTTAGAATTTACGCTGAGATTTAGTTTTCATTTGCTCACAGATGTCTGAGTTGTTCAGCAGGTGGCAGTTTCTTTAGCTGCTCATATTTGTTGAGGTCATAAGCGATGATTAAACAGCACACCTGCTGGTTGGATGATCCTGGGTACGGGCGGTCTCTTAGTGGTGGGTAGCTCTGGAGGGAGCCGTGTGAGGAGGAAGCGGTTACTTTGTCTTTGTTTAACCTGGTGTCGTCTTGTTGCAGGAGAATGACATCTTCCGGGGCTGGGAAAAAGGAGCTTGTAAGAAGTGGGGGAAGAGTAAGAAGAGGTGCCCCGATCTGACTCTGGAGGAGAGGAAGAAGCAGGCTGCTGTGCAGTGTCTCCGCTCGGCCTCGGATGAAGTAAGCTCGCGCTTTGTGCTTCCGGCGAGCCCCCAGCCTGCGTGCCACCGTGTCGTGCACAGTGCTGTCCCCCGTGCCGCCGTGTCATGCACAGCGCTGTCCCCCAGGCCTCCGTGTCGTGCACAGCGCTGTCCCCCGGGCCGCCGTGTCGTGCACAGCACTGTCCCCCGGGCCTCCGTGGGTGCAAGGCAAGGACTTTAGCCACTAGGCTACTGTGCTGGACCTATAACTCTGCCTTTCAAATAATGCTTTAACTAACACACACACACACACACACACACACTCTCTCTCTCTCTCTCTCTGTCCCTCTCTCTCTCTGTCCAGGGATCTCTCACTAAAATCAAGTGCTGAAAGTAGACAGGTCCCGGCAGGGACCTCCATGTGGTTGCAGTCACTTTGTCCAGTGACCAGGGTCTCTTGTTTGCTACTCTTGCTGGCTTTCTCTGCTCTGCTACATGCGGAGTGCAGGGTCGCTCCAGCCCTCTCCTCACTGGTAACGGCTGCAGTGTCCGGGCCTTCCGGTGGGAGGGAACCCAACTGGCATGGGTTGGACCAGGTGTCCACTCAGTTTGAATTGAGCGGAGCTTCACCCTGAGGCAGTGGTCGCAGGGAAGGCATGGCTGGATGGTTAGCCCAGAGTGCTTTCTGCATGCCACGGAGGCGGGGAAGCCTTAGACGAGCCTTAGAACTTAGACGAGAATTCGGAATGCGATGGCTTTCATCTGACCCAGCCCTGGCCTTTGCAACCCAGGAGATACTGTCTTTCAGATGATCACGTTGCTGTATTTTTTCCTTTGCTGTGAGGCTGCAAGGTGTTCACCTGTGCCCTGGTGGTGTTCCAAGTTCCAGTCCAAGGACCTTGACGTTCTTGGGAATTGGACAGTAAGGTGTGAAATTCTTATCTGCATGTGCAGCCCAGGGCATTCAGAGCGTTTGTGGCCTCCCTCAGGCAGGGACGCTGTAGTGAGGACCAGGGCACCTGGCAGCCCCTGGCTGACGTAAGAACGGTGTCCTGCCCGTGTAACGACGTGTGGGTTAAGTCAGCAAGATTCTGCTTGGAAGCTAGGACCGATGACGTGGCAGTTGTTTCCTGTGGATGCTAAGGTGGAGGCTGAGTGAAGTGGTGCCTGTCGGCCTCCCCGGCCAGTGCTGGCCTGGTCCTCGTTGCATCCCGTCACTGCTAAGGACTAGCACACAGCCGGCCTACCTTTTCTGAAGCCTTGGCTGCTGCCGCTGTGTAACAGGGTGAAGGCCTGTGCTCTTTATTTAAATGAAAGGTGGGGTGACGGGGCCTGGGGTGCCTTCCGTTCAGGTGACCACAATAGCTGGGACTTGGAACTCCGTCTTGGTCTGCCACAGGAATGGTGAGGGCCCAAGCACACTGACTACCCGGCACACAGCAAGGAGTTGGATTGAAAGTGGGGCAGCTGAGATTAAAACTGCCACTCTGATGAGGGAGGCCAGTGTTGCAGGTGCCAGCTTAACTTGCTGGGCCACAGCGCAGGCCGTCCTGGCATACATTGTAGCTTTTCTCCATGATTGTGCAGCTTGGCCGCCTTCCTCCAGGAAACTTCCCAAGTGCTTGTGTCTGTGATGCTTCATTCATCCTCCCGGCCTGGGGAGAGAATGTGGGGAAACCTGGAGGCAGCCGGGTTGACGTGTGTGTGCACGTGTATTGCTGGTTTTTTAAGGTTTCTTCGCCTCTCTGAAGGACTGAATGACAGGCAGGAACACATTTTGCATCAGCTGGTTTACTTTCCCAACACCAAACAGCTAGGTTCTGGCCAGGCGCTCCATCCCGGTATCCCACGTGGCAGGAATCCAGACACTTGGGCCACTGTTTGCTGCCTCCCAGGTACGTTGTGAGGAAACTGAGTCACAAGTGGTAGCAACATGGACAGGGAACCCTCGTGTGGGATGTGCCCTTCCAAGTGGCAGCCTAACCCACTGAGTCGTAGCAGTGGTCCCAGGCAGGTCTGTGGCTCCTCTGGGCAAGGATGCCAACCACAGCCTTCATGCAGGTGCTGTGGCGGGAGACACATTTTGTTTTTTGAGTTTTTAAAAGTTTGGATCCCTTCCCTGGGCACTGAGGGTATGAATTTGTGAATCCTTTATTGAGTCTCCTTTCTCAGCACTCTGTCGTTGTTGGCTTAACTTGCAAATTTACTTTTTAAAAATCTGATATATCCTATCTACCAGGCTACTCCACAGATATTTCCAAAGCCAGAAACCAGAGCTCACGTGGGTGGCAGGAACCCCTGTTGTTGAGCCATCACCTGCTCCCTTCTGGGCCGGTGTTAGCAAGAAGCTGGAATTGGAAATGTAGCCAGACCCCGACCTCAAGCCTGGACATCGTGGGCTTTGGCTGTCTCACGCCGTGTCTCAACTGCTACGCCAAATGCCCATCCATCGTTGTAAATTTTTAAAGAGTTGCACGCGGTCACTGGGTCTCTCCCACTGGTCTTTCAGCTCATCTAAGAGAAGTGTGGAGAGGGTGGAGCTCGACACAGGGGCATTTGGGAGCCTTGGCCTGCCAACAGCTTCATGACAGAGGAGCCCAAGGCTCAGTGTCTTAGAGCAGACATTTTATTTGCTTTGGATACTGTGGGTTAGCCAGGACTCAACTGGAGGTTCTGTGCTGGCCAAGTGACATCACTGTGGCCTTCGGGGCTCATAGATTAGCATGGCAGGAGGCCGGGTGTCCCCTTCATTGTCGCGTCCTGGCATGCCATGGCCAGGAGTGAGTGACGGAGCCCCAGCTTGTCAGGATGCCTGAGGCAGGAACAGGAAACTAGACAAACTGGTGGGTTTGTGTCCCATGGGCAGGAGAGTATGTGCTATTGTGAGAAGAAGATTGCTACAAAAAGATTACAGTATTCAAGGAACAAGCAAAATAATAGTCATGAAAGACTCCACAGAAGTTTGGGAGATTCAGGAAGGAAATCTCCCAAGTTAGGACTAGGTCGAGGAAGTTCAGGGCCAGCTACTAGGGAGTCACGTGTCCCAGCTGTGAGGCTGGAAGTTAGGCTGGGGAAATGATTGATGAGGGGTCCTGTGGGGGTCCACATGGAAAGGACAGGTGTGTTCCCAGCATGTCACAGGCCTGGGGGTCCTTCTGCGGCCGTAGGAAGGCTGACCTGTGAGATGGGTGACGGCGAGGAGCGACGAGGAGGCAGAGTACAGCAGACTGTGTTCCATCCCGAGAAGGATGGGCAGTGTGGATAGGCTGGAGAGATGGGAAACGACGGGAGTTTTTCAGGGGAACATGCAAGATTGTTTTCAGAAGACCCTGGCCCCGAGGTGCAGTGCTGGACAGGGCTCAGTCTGCACCCACTGTCGCTGTCTCCACCCCGACCCACAGCCAAGGAGCAGAGCATGTGGCAGGAGCCAGGCCCAGAGCTGAATGGAGATCCAGCAAGGGTAGTTAATTACCATTGTCACTCCTCCACCTCAGACTCAAATTGTGACAAAAACAAAAGGCCTGAGTTGGGACACCCACATCCCACCTCAGTGCTGGGGCTGCAGACCACTGCCCATGGAGGCCTCCACTGCCATGCTGCAGACCCAGCTCCACTTCTGCTCCCAGCTTCCCACCAGGGCCCTCCTTGCCATGCTGCAGACCCAGCTCCACTTCTGCTCCCAGCTTCCCAAGGCCCTTCTTGCCATGCTGCAGACCCAGCTCCACTTCTGCTCCCAGCTTCCCAAGGCCCTTCCTGCCATGCTGCAGACCCAGCTCCACTTCTGCTCCCAGATTCCTGCAGAGGCCCTCCCTGCCAAGCAGCAGTTGGTGTCTCCGTGTTTGAGTCCCTGTTACCTACGTGGGAGATCAGGATCGGATGCTAGAGTCTGTGGGCATTTGGGGAATGAACCAATAGACCAGAGAATTCCTTCTGTTGCTGTATTTTAAATAAAACTTAATGGGTTTTTGAAAGAAATGAATGGAAAAAGTGAGATTTTGGAAAACGAATGCCGTGAAGATCTGGAAGTGGCGCTGTTGAAGTAAGGCCTGCCTGTGTCATCTGAGGTCACCCTCCGTTCTCATGAGGGAAGTGCTGGGGTGGTGGCCTCACAGGGATAGTGGCACGCCAGCCCTGTGCTGTCCCTGAGCAGGGCAGGAACAGAGAAGCAGCCCTGCTGCCCTCAAGCCCAATGTGTGTCCCTTGGCCCTATTGTCAATGACACCGGGCAGGCCTTGTTTCCTTGGGCGCCCTGCCTGGCCCGTGGGAACTCACGACCTTCCCTCCCCGGGTTAGCAGGGGTGTACCTGATGCACAGAGCGTGGCCCTCTCTGTGACTGCCTGTGATTTCTGAAACAGATGGGGACACTGCAGCTCCAGAGGTCCAGAGCTGCCAGGCGGCCGAGCCTTGCGCCTCGTGTCGGATGGGTGCTGGTGGGTGCAGGATGCTTTGAGTCAGAACAGTTTGTGGATGTTCTCGTTTTGTTTTGTTTTTAGAGTGGTCGATTTATTTTAAAAGCATTGCAGAGAGGGGGTAGAGATGCAGAGATATTCTACTGTTGGCCTCCCCAGGTGGCCGCAACAGCCAGCAGCTGCATCTAGGTCTCTCACATACCCAGCAGGGACCCAGCACTTGGGCCGACTTGCACTGCACTTCCCAGGTTCAGTAGCAGGGAGCTGGATTGAAAGTAGAGCCGCTGGCATTCCTTGGTGTGCCTGCACTGCAGGTGGTGGCTTTCCCAGCTGTGCCACACCGCTGGCCCCAGGTAGCATTGTTTGACGAACAGCCCAGTGCTTGCTATACTAAGTTGTGATTATAATTTAACTTTTTCTCATTTCTCAGCATACTATAAACTCCCAAAGTATTCTTGAATTCTTGTAGAAAAAGTGTAGTACTAAAATAAAATGACTAAAATTCTCCAGTAATTTCTCTGATAGTTGGAAAGTGATGACGTTTCTCCCTAGCGGCTCTGAATTAACACCAGGGTGTGGTGAGCTTTCTGTGGCTCCTCTGCTCCTGCAGCGGCCAGCACAGCACCCAGGGCTTCGCGCTTTAATGAGTGTGAGCAGGCTCCGGCAGGACCTGGATGGGAGAGCTTGCTTCCTACACACGATGAAGAGTGAGCACTCAGGCCTGTTTTGATTATTCACATAGGAAAACAAGTGCTCACACATTCTTTGTTCCATGTAAGTAAATGTGTGTGTGATTTATAGTTGGCTTCCAGGAGAGAGTCGACAGAATGCCTGTGGCTGCTTTTCAGTAGTCACTCTGGGAGTGTGTTCAGGGGCAGCTGCGACTCGGAGTGTTTAAGGAGGGTTAATCAGCGGTCCCTGGAGGTTGAGTGTTCTGCCCTGGAGACCGAGCCTGGGCTGAAACACAGTGGCACAGGCTCGCGGAGCAGGGCAGCGTGGGCGGTCAGCTGACAGTGGTGTTCGTTTCCGGCTCTGGAGGGAACGCACTGAGACTGTCATGCCCGGCACAGCTTGAGCGCCATGGTAAGCTCCCTCTTTCTGGTGGACTTGTGCGTGGAGACATGTTCGTGGCTAGTGTCTGCCATGGTTATTAGGGGTGTTTTCAGAGGAGCGGCAGCTCTGCTTGGGCCCGTCCCCGGGTGTCTCTGTTGACAGTGGTGCTGCAGTCGGACAGAATGTTGGCTCTGAGTGTGGATGACGGACTGTTCCTGCTGTCATTGTTCTTGCTGCTCAAGCCGTGGAACTGCGGGGTTTCTTGCTTAGGATCGCATAAGCCGTGTGCTGAGTCATTTCGAGTTAAGCGAATGGGTTCAAGTTCTATTATTAGCCCCGAAGGCTCGGTGAGGACATAGGGTTAGCCAACGAACTGCTTGCCCTGCTGGGGTTTCTGTTCGGGCAGTGCCACCAAAGCCAATTTGATTGCATTGTACATAGGACTTGCCGTGTTAAATATATTTAAAGTTTCTAACAGATATGTTTATCCTTTTGTCAGTTGTAAAGATTTTTCTCCTCATGTAAGAAGTGGACAAATTTAGTCTATGTGGGAAAAGATCACTTTACATGTACAGCCAACCTTGATGTTACAATCAGGGCACCTCTCCTTACACTGACTGTGCACAGCTCACACCTGCTCAGGGCACACACTGCTTACACTGACTGCACAGCTCACGCACGCGCAGGGCACCCTCTCCTTACACTGACTGCGCACAGCTCGCACACCTGCTCAGGGCACATACTCCTTACACTGACTGTGCACAACTCACACCTGCTTGGGGCACTCTCTCCTTACACTGACTGTGCACAGCTCAGGGCACACACTGCTTACACTGACCTGTGACTGCACAGCTCACACCTGCTCAGGGCACATACTCCTTACACTGAGTGTGCACAGCTCGTACCTGCTCAGGGCACACACTCCTTACACTGACCTGTGACTGCACAGCTCACACCTGCTCAGGGCACACACTCCTTACACTGACTGTTCTGTCCACAGCTCACACTTTTTCCAGACTCTGAAGAGTGGACAGCTTTCATAGTTGTTCTCTATGCTGAATACTTTACTGTTTTATGTTGAATATTCACTTAGAAAAAGAGCAAATATCACCTCTTTTCCCTTCCAATTGAGAGGCTCTAGAGTACCAGGGAGCTTTTTTGGTTTGAGACCTTTTTCACATCGATATTTGTTATGTCCTGGTGGCGACTGGCTTTGGACATCTTATTGGCATTTGGGCCATTGGTCTGCTTCTAATCAGGATGAGTGCCTCTGGGAAACAGAAGCTATTCTGGAAGGGAAGTTAATACTTTAACATTTTACCAGTAAGTTACATTTAATGTTCTTCATTATCAGTAAAATGTATACTAATTTAGATCTGCAGGCCTGCAGTTTCGACACCTGGTGTTCACGTGGATCTGGGCAATAGGTTTCACTAGCGTGAAAGACTTGCAAAGTGTTGGTGTGAACGCAGAGCTTTGCTGAGCCCTGATGTTTGTGTACCTTGCAGTATCCTGATGTGTCTGTCTGCCTCACACAGAGCTCTGGGATCGAGACGTTGGTGGAGGAGCTGTGCTCCAGGCTGAAAGACCTACAGAGCAAGCAAGGTGAGAAGCCAGGGGCCAGCACCTGCCAGGCTGCCATCCCCCGAGCCAAAGCTCACACTTGCGCCAAGACAGAATGAGACTGAAGTCTTGTAGCTCGATGTGGGGCCTCAGCCAGCATCCTGCTGCCTGCAGCCCTGTTGGGGCTTCTGTGGCAGTGCCTGGCACGGGCTCACAGACCTGCCTGCTCCTGCAGAAGTGACTTGATCCGCAGGTTCCCGGATGGGCAGGAGCTCTGCCTCCTTCTCTCCTCTTGCATTGGTGTCTTCAAGTGCACAAGGTGGGAGCAGTATTTTCTCTCCCCCATCTTTTACTGCCCCCAAGCCTTGAGTCCTCCTGTTAGGGGCACAGGTTGGTTACTTAGTTCTCGTCTGGGGTGGTCCTGTGGCTGAGCCGCAGGCATGCACTCCTGCCTTTGTATTTTGTATGGAATACAGCTGCTGCCCGCATACATGCTAAGCATGTGAGCGATGGCCAGGAAGAGTTCTTATGGACTGCTTTGATCAGAATGAGTCGTTACAAAGTCTGTAAGTGGAGAATTTTGTAGGAAAGCATTTTTGGAACCTGAACAGATGTTCTCTGCTTCTGGTCTAATTAGTAAGTACACGGGGGATTCAGTCTCTTAATTAAATGCCTCTAGAGCACTGTATCGGTGTGGGTGAATGACATTCATTTCTTAGCCTAATGCTAATGTGGTTTAGCCAGAGAATTCTCTCGGGCACACTGGAGAAATAGGTTTTTATTAAAAGAAAAAAAACTGCTATTGAGTCTCTTTTTAAGCCAAGAAAACCTCTGTCGTCCCTGATTAAAGTTACTTTTTTAAAGCATGGGTATTTACTAAATAGATGTAAGACACATTTTCCCAATTTTTGTTTTATAACAGAAGAGAAGATTCACAAAAAATTGGAGGGGTCTCCCTCCCCAGAGGCGGAATTGTCCCCCCCAGCAAAGGATCAAGTGGAAATGTACGTAAAACCATGTTTTGCGATCAGGGGTGTGTGTGTGTGTGTGTGTGTGCACGCGTGTGCGCGTGCGTGTGTGTGCGCGCGTGTGTGCGTGTGTGCGCGTGTGTGTGTGTGTGTGTGTGCGCGTGTGTGCGTGTGTGTGTGTGTGTGTGTGTGTGTGCGCGCGCTGAAGCCAGACTGGTGACTGCTGCATGTCTCCATTGTTTCTGTCTGTCATCTATTTTGTTTCATGTTTGGTTACTTAGAAAACATCTAGCCTTTATTGTGGAATGGACAGAATCAGGTGAGATTGAGATGGTTCTCTTTATATGAATGAGGTGAGAAAGGCTATCATTGCTAAGTCCTGGACCCTTGGAAGTCACGCGGCAGCACAGAGGGACACCTGTCCTTGTCCCCGAGCAAGGTCAGGGAGTTCCCACCACTGAGGCAAGGGGCACGGGCAGACCCTTGGCCTTCCCAAACCTCTTTGCTAGAAATACTTTCAGCTCTTGTAAATAATTAGAGTTAAAACGAGCGTCCTTAGTACAGATTTTTTAGAAACCTCCTGAACTGCTAAATTCTAAGGAGGAAATAGCATGTCATTGGTTGTTTAGATTGGCACTGCCAATTAGCAGTAGCCGGGAGCAAGCTGCCTGTAGCTGCTGCATTTGGAAAGCGGCTCCTTAAGCTGTAGTGTACCCCAAGTGTGACATTCTGAGGAAAGACAGTTGTGAAAAAGCGTATAATAGTGCAGGAATGATTTTCTCATATTGATTATGTCAAAGTGTTAATATTGGCCACATAAATGTATTATTGGCATTAGTTTCAACTGTTTCCTCTTAAACTTTTGATATGACTGTTAGAACATTTAGAATTGCCCAAGAAGCATGCGGTGTCTTCCTGCTGCATGGCACTGACATGGCTGAGGTCCTGGTGAACTTGGCCTTCGTGACTGTTGCCCAAGGGGCCCGTATGGACAGTCTCAGTGGTCACCAGATTCCCAGCAAATCTGGGAATTTTGTTTGTCCTGTCCACTCACCACATCTGCCTAGCTTGCCTGCCCTGCGTGGCCGTGGGTCGCCGGTCTCATCAGGCCATGTGGGTGTTCATGTCCTCACTCGGGTCCCGTGTAGCACTTGCTGCCTGCCCAGGATCCGCCATGGTGTTTGGAGCCTTGCACTGTCTTCTCTGCTGAGCGCTGGACTGTCATGGTCCGTGCTGCTTCTGAGGGCTTGCCCAAGTGAGGGCAGCTGCTGGAGGTGGAATCGTTATTGCCCCCTTTTGTAGGGGAGACCACCATCCCCCAAGAGGTGCAACCCCAGCTAGTGAGCGGCAGAGCTGGGGCGCCTTCAGGCTGCGGACTGCTTTGCTGTACACGTGTTTCCGGGGCTCACAGCAAGCCACGAGGGGAGTCCTGGGGCCCTCACTTGATAGTGGACGTGGACAGGCATTACGTAACGACCTTCAAGTCATGGGTATAGTGAGATTCAGACACTTTTTATGGAACAGACAACATTTTCTGGACTACATCATTTTGTTACTTTTGACTTCTTGATTGATTAAAAAGTGTCGTTTTATGTATTTGATGTTTCTTACTATATAAGCAGAAATTGGTGCCTGGTGCTAGGACTGGCTCGGGTGTGTTGAAGTGACAGGAAACAGTGCGCCCTTGGCCGGCTGGCTTAGCATGCTGTGTCCGCTCCTTCGGTCGACTGTCTGCTGCCCGGGACCGAGCATGACCACGTGTCGACCCTGTGCCCTCTTTTGCAGGTACTATGAAGCCTTTCCGCCACTTTCTGAGAAGCCGGTCTGCCTGCAGGAAGTCATGACTGTGTGGAACAAGTCCAAAGTCTGTTCTTACTCTAGCTCCTCTTCGTCGTCCACAGCGCCCCCGGCCAGCACAGGCCCGTCGTCTCCCAAGGACTGCCACAGTGAGAGCGAGGCTGTCCAGGAGAGAGGCAGCAGAGCGCCCTGCGCTGCGCGGGAAGGAACCCGGAGAAGCCGACTCGAGGAAGAGCTCAAGCTCGGGAACGGCACCACGCAAGAAAAGCCGGCCTTGTACAAGAAGCAGATCCGACAGAAGCCCCAGGGGAAGGCTAGGCCTCGCTCATGGTCCTCCGGCTCCAGTGAGGCAGGCTCCAGCTCCAGCGGGAACCAGGCAGAACTGCGAGCGTCCCTGAAGTACGTGAAAGCGAGACACAAGGCTCGGGAAGTCCGAAGCAAGAAAGGCCGCAGCGGCCCGGGCAGGCTGTCCCTGAAGCAGGGCGAGAAGGGGGGCAGGAGCAGCCAGGCTGGGAGCAGACAGCTCTGCAGGCGGGGCAGGCGGGCCCTGCGGGAAGCCGGGAGGAGAGAGCCTGGGAGCCAAGGGCCCGACGCGTGCGTGGAGAGCGGGAACGACAGAGAGTACAAGGAGGAGCCGCTGTGGTACACCGAGCCCATCGCCGAGTACTTCATTCCTTTGAGCAGGAGAAGCAAACTGGAGACCACGTACCGGCACAGGCCGGAGACGAGCGAGCTGACGGCCGGGGCGGTGGAGGAGCTGTCGGAGGCCGTGCATGGGCTCTGTATCAGCAACAATAATATTCCTAAAACATACCTCGCAGCAGGCACTTTCATTGATGGCCATTTTGTGGAAATGCCTGCGGTTATAAATGAGGACAGTGACCTCACTGGGACGTCGTTCTGTTCTCTGCCGGAGGACAGCGAATACCTGGATGATATTCATCTCTCAGAATTAACACACTTCTATGAAGTGGATATTGACCAATCCATGTTGGATCCTGGTGCCTCAGAAACCATGCAAGGAGAAAGTCGGATTTTGAATATGATTCGACAAAAAAGCAAAGAGAATACAAATTTTGAGGCAGAATGTTGCATAGTGTTAGATGGCATGGAGTTGCAAGGGGAACGTGCAATATGGACAGACTCGACCAGCTCCGTGGGTGCCGAGGGCCTGCTCCTGCAGGACCTCGGCAACCTGGCTCAGTTTTGGGAGTGCTGCTCCTCCAGCTCGGGTGATGCCGACGGAGAGAGTTTTGGGGGAGAGTCCCCAGTTAGACTGTCGCCCATCTTGGACGGCACGATGTTCAGTTCACACTTGCTCGCTGGCAATCAAGAGCTCTTTCCGGAGATGGATGAAGGACCTGGCGGTGTGAACTCTGCTCTGTCAGTGTTTGAAGTGCAATGCAGTAACTCTGTTCTCCCGTTTTCTTTTGAAACACTCAACTTGGGAAATGAAAATACAGATTCTAGTGCTAACATGCTTGGGAAGACACAATCTAGACTGCTCATCTGGACCAAAAATAGTGCCTTTGAAGAAAGCGAACACTGTTCTAATCTTTCAACAAGAACTTGTAGTCCGTGGTCCCATTCGGAAGAAACACGTTCAGACAACGAGACGCTAAACATTCAGCTTGAAGAATGCACACAGTTTAATGCAGAGGATATTAATTATGTCGTTCCTGGAGTCTCGGCAAATTATGTAGACGAAGAACTGCTAGATTTTTTGCAAGACGAAGCTTGTCAGCAAAACAGAACTTTAGGAGAAATTCCTACATTAGTTTTCAAGAAAAAATCTAAACTAGAATCTGTGTGTGGTATTCCACTAGAACAAAAACCAGACAACAAAAACTTTGAAACTCCGCAAGTAGGGAGTGAGAGTGGCCCACGTGGAGATGGCTACAGCTCAGGGGTTATTAAGGACATTTGGGCAAAGGTGGCTGGTGGGAGCTCTTTGGCCACAGTGGAACTAGAAGGGGTTGACGATGCGTTGTTTTCAGCAGATGTGGATAGCTGCTGCTGCTGCTTGGGCCGTGAGGCCGAGGTGGAGGCCCTGGAGCAGCCCCGCAGGGCCGTGCAGAGGTCGGAGTACCACCTTTGGGAGGGACAGGGGGAGGACCCCGAGAAAAGAGTGTTTGTTCCTAGGGAGCTGTCCAAGGTGGGCGGGGGGGATTACACCACCCCCTCCAAGCCCTGGGCTGGCGCTCAGGACAGAGAGAGCGCGTTCATTCTCGGGGGAGTCTATGGAGAACTCAAAACCTTCGGCAGCGATGGGGAGTGGGCTGTGCTCCCGCCCGGCCACGCAAGAGGAAGCTTGTTGCAGTGTGCGGCTTCCGACGTCGTCACCATCGCAGGCACAGATGTCTTCATGACGCCCGGAAACAGCTTCGCTCCCGGCCACAGACAGCTGTGGAAGCCCCTCGTGTCGTTGGAACAGGACGACCAGCCGAAGAGTGGAGAGAATGGATTGAACAAGGGATTTTCTTTTATCTTCCGTGAAGACTTATTAGGAGCTTGCAGTAACTTTCAAGTTGAAGAGCCCGGACTCGAGTATTCATTCTCTTCCTTTGACTTCAGCAATCCGTTTTCACAAGTTCTGCACGTGGAATGTTCGTTGGAACCCGAGGGCATTGCATCTTTGAGCCCCAGCTTCAAGCCCAAGTCCATCCTCTGCTCCGAGTCAGACAGCGAGGCCTTTCACCCTCGGATCTGCGGGGTTGACAGGACGCAGTACAGGGCCATTCGCATCTCTCCTCGGACTCACTTCCGCCCCATCTCTGCATCAGAGCTGTCCCCGGCAGGAGGAAGTGAGTCCGAGTTTGAGTCTGAGAAAGACGAAACGAACATCGCCATCCCATCTCAAGTTGATGTGTTTGAGGATCCGCAGGCAGACCTCAGGCCTCTGGAAGAAGATGCAGAGAAGGAAGGCCACTACTACGGGAAGTCGGAGCTCGAGTCTGGAAAATTCCTCCCTCGGTTAAAGAAGTCTGGGATGGAGAAGAGTGCTCAGACCTCCCTCGATTCCCAGGAGGAGGCGGCAGGCCTGCTGGGAGCCAAGCCAGATCCGTGCTTGGGGTGCAGCAAGAGCAAATCTCTGGAGACTGATCTGGAGAGCTCGGAAGCAAACTGCAAAATAATGACACAGTGCGAAGAAGAAGTGAGTCACTTGTGCAGTTGCAGGGCAGGTTGCCAGTTCCCTGCTTACGAAGATAATCCAATCTCTTCAGGACACCTGCGAGAGGTATGTGTGTTCCTGCGTGTTGGTGTTTCGCAGGAGGACGGGGCCAGGCCGGTCACAGGGAGATTAGGGTGATGGCTTAAGCACTAAAGCTTTACATCCAGGGACTTAATTTTGCAGAAGTTGGGACTAGATGATAGACTTTTCTGCAGAGGACCAGTTCTACATAAGCCAAGTTCTTACGTGTTACTGTACAGGTACAACGCTATAGAAAGCCTACTGGGTAATCGTAGCTGAAAGTTGATGAGTCGGGGACTGGCTGGTAGCAAGAAGCTCGCAGCCCCCTGGAGCCCAGTGACTTGAGTGGAACCTGCGTTCCACCTACAAGCCAAGGGACAGCTGTCACAGTTCCTAAAAGTCAGTCCACAAGTACAGAGTAGCTGCTGCGGCTGCGCACTGAGTCTGTCAGATGGCATGGCAGCCTCACTGGTGGGCGCCACTGTACTCCCTGACTGCATTCCAAGGAGGCAGTTTGATGTTAAATTAATGGTACAGGAAAAAACATGGCCATTTCCTGTTTCACAAAAAAGCATATTCTCCCCAGTGTCCAGCTGCTGACGGAGCAGTGGTGCCCACCGTTTGCCCAGAGGCCCCGTGTGCCAGCACAGAGATGTGGAGTGCTGCCTCCCTCCGGCTGGCTGCACCCCCCTCCCATCCCGTTCCCCATCACCAGCTCCTCTGCCCGCCCACACCCCCTGCTGGGCTTTCCACCTGTTGCTGCCCCTTGCTGCTCCTGGACTTTGTTTCTTTTTTGCTGCATTTTCTGGTGAGTTGCTCTGTGTGCTTCCTTGCACAAGCTGCTTGTATCCAAGCGCCCTGCCTCCCTGGTCTCCGTGCTGCCTCCCCTGACCGCAGGGTCTCCGTGCTGCCTCCCCTCGAGTCGCAGGGTCTCCCTGCTGCCTCCCCTCGAGTCGCTGCCTCCCCTCGAGTCGCAGGGTCTCCGTGCTGCCTCCCCTCGAGTCGCAGGGTCTCTGTGCTGCCTCCCCTTGACCGCAGGGTCTCCGTGCTGCCTCCCCTCGAGTCGCAGGGTCTCCTGTGCTGTCTCCCCTCGACGCAGGGTCTCCCGTGCTGCCTCCCCTCGAGACGCAGGGTCTCCGTGCTGTCTCCCCTCGAGTCGCAGGGTCCCTGTGCTGTCTCCCCTCGAGTCGCAGGGTCTCCGTGCTGCCTCCCCTCGAGTCGCAGGGTCTCCGTGCTGTCTCCCCTCCAGTCGCAGGGTCTCCTGTGCTGTCTCCCCTCGACGCAGGGTCTCCCGTGCTGTCTCCCCTAGACGCAGGGTCTCCGTGCTGTCTCCCCTCGAGACGCAGGGTCTCCGTGCTGCCGCTTGTCTGGGTCACTCCCGGTGACTTGAGAACCACTGCCCTTGCCAGCTTGCCTAGGAATCCCTGGAGGGAGGAGTTTAAGGCAGTGAAATAAGAACTTTAAAAAAAGTCCTATTGTTAGCCTGTTACCTGCTTGTTTTTGCCCCATTTTCAGCCTCAAATATTCCTTTATGTACTTTGTATCTCACCTGGCTCCAGATTGGGAAGAAAGAAAAGGAGGAAAGAAGCAAGATTCCACATCCTGCCACTACCGTGTTCCTTCGTTTCCTAGTATGTTGGTGGATTTATGTGTTAGCTGAATTCTGCATTTCTTGAAAAGTCTTGGCTTCCAGACAGTTCCTAGCAGACATCTAGGGTTGCCTGGAGGCCAAGGCAGTGCCTGCATGGTGGGCACTGGCCTCTGTCCAGTTACTCTGGGCACTCGTCATAGACATCATCTGAGGCTCAGAGACTGCCAGCTAGGGGCAGTCTTGTCGGGGCTTCGGGTCAGGCTGGATTAGGGTTGGCTTCTGTCATATGCCGTTGCCTGGCCAGTGTGGGGTGCTCCTAACTGGATGTTCCCACCCCTTTCCCTGACTGAAGCCAGTCCTAGCAGACCTGCTTCCAGGTCACCAGTGGCCCATTTGTTGGTCATCCAGTAAAATTGGTGTTTAGAAACATGAACAGATTTTGCAGAGGTTAGCTCACCTCACATCTTTGCTTGCCTGTCTTACACCTGTCCCCAAGGCAGAGGCCCTGGGTGAGAACAGCTTTGTCCTGGCTGCTGAAGTAGGCAGGGGAGTGACTTGACTCATTCAGTAGGTCTAAGAGGGTGGATACAGTGGGGAGCCCCCAGCACCCGCCGGCAGGAGCTCTGGACTCTAGTCCAAGGCTCAGCAGTGCACATGTGTTCTTTGTGCTCAAGTGGCACTTCTTGGTAACCGTGTGCTGTTCATTGAGTGGATGCACTGTCTTGTCTTTCAGGGGCTTTGGACCAGTGCAGTGTGAGTCATGTGATGGGGAGTGGCTTGGCATGAGACAGGTGGCAGGAGGAATGTGGTAGTCACGTGGTAGGGAAGTGGCAGAGCCTTCAGGAGGATGCCACAGCTGTTGGAGCTGGGCTGGGGCAGGGAGTAGTGGCCTGGCAGCAGCCACACACAGGCCGGAGTGCAGAGGCTCAGACTGCTGCGTGCCGGAGCGCTTGGCTCTTGCAGTGGGAGGTGGCGATCAGTGGAGGGGCACAAAGCCTGCCTCAGGCATCCACCTGTGCAGTAAGTGGTGGCAAAAGTGTTCTCCTGTGGTTGCCAGCTTAGTGCCAAGCGCTTCGAGCCAAGAAAGGAAGCAGGAGGCTGAGGCACTGCCTTCAGAGTGTTTGAGTCCACCCCAGGCGGAAAGCTCATCCCCTCCCGGCAGATGCTATGCTGGGCAGCATGCTGGGTCTCCCTGCCACAAGGCCAAGGGGTGGAGGCAGGGGGTTCAGCCTGGTGCCGTGGCCCCGGCCCACATGCTGATGCCCACGCGGACACTTCCTGCTGAGGACACAGAGGCTCAGGCTTGGTCCCTGTTCCGAGCCAGCTCTGCCAGTCATGCTGCATTGCCGTGAGCCAAGGTAAACTTCCCAGCAGGTGCCTGTCTTTTGTCTGTGTTGTACTCGGTGTCTCTTCATTTATATTTTGTTTCTTCTTTTCCAAAGGAAAGGGGGCCTCTGACTGTCCCTCCTCTTTGTGACTGAGACGCTGAGCACTGGCTATGGTCAGGGCACATTTTTGCAGTCACGCTGGGATACAGCAAAACAGGGGTTGCACCCTAGGGCGTTCTCTTCACCTGCTCTGCCTCTTAAAGGAGCGAGTGTTGTGTCTGCTGCTCAAAGCGTGTCTGGCCTGGCCTTCTGCACTGCCTTTGTCTGCCCTCCTGCATCATCAGATCCTTAGCCAGCACCTCCCGTGCCGGGTGCCGGTCTTGGTGCTGAGAGCAGCTAACAGATCCCGGGCTGTGGAGTGACTGCCAGCCTCGGGGAGCCGACAGTTAGCTGGTGAAGCTGGCGTGCGTGTGTCATTGGAGGTTCTGCAGTGAAGCAGGGAGAGGGAGAGGGGGGCGGCACTCAGGCAGGCAGGGGTGGCACCCCTCCTTGTGGGTGTGCTGTGCGCTGGGCTGGGTTTCCACTGTGCTTTCTGCCTGGCTTCCTTTCGGTCACAGCCAAGCCAAAAGCTGAATTAAGATGCCCTGCATGGGCTGAGTGCAGGCTCAGTGTTGGGGTGGGGGAGGGGCTCGGGAGGGGCTGTGGACCTGTGAGTGCAGTCACATAAAACAGGATGAGTGCCTGCTCTTACAAGTAAGGACACTCGAAGGGGGAGACGGAAAGGAATCCAGGACAGGGAGTCAGCTAAGCAGAGCTTTCAGCCCAGGTCAGCAGACAGAGGGCTGCTTTGGGCTGGGCCTGCTGCCTGGAGGATGTCCCAGCTTGCCTCTGCTTTCCTCTGCTTCCCATTGCTTGGAGTCCTCACGGATGTTGGAGCCCTCTTCTGCCCCTCCCATTCCTCCCCAGGGGTGCTGGAGCCCTCCTGTCTGCCCCCCGTCCCACCCATCCCATCCTGTCAGGGACGCTGGAGCCCTCCTGTCTGCCACCCGTCCCACCCATCCCATCCTGTCAGGGACGCTGGAGCCCTCCTGTCTGCCACCCGTCCCACCCATCCCATCCTGTCAGGGACGCTGGAGTCCTCCTGTCTGCCCCCGTCCCTCCCCATCCCATCCTGTCAGGGATGCTGGAGCCCTCCTGTCTGCCTCCTGTCCCTCCCCATCCCATCCTGTCAGGGACGCTGGAGCCCTCCAGTCTGCCCCCCGTCCTCCCCATCCCATTCGGTGCTGTGGATACTTTCTCTTGCCATCCGTCCCTTCTCCCACAGCTTGAAGTTGATAACCCATGTAATTAGCCTCACACAAATGCAGCATGTCATTCTGCAACCTGTCAGGGCATTTTCTTTCTCCAGTAGGTGGCAGGGATGGCGGAGAGAGTCCTGGCCAAGACAGTCTTTACTGTCTGAGTAGAACAGGCAGAGCCTTTCCAGAAAACTCTTGACAGTGATGTGGACTGCACTCAGGTGCTGCTGGCCGCCTTGGGTTGACCAGATATTGCGCACTGCCTACGTTTGCATTGAGCCTTGCCGTGTCCATCCCACTGTCTTTGGCATCATGTCACTAACAGCAGTACTAGTTGTTAGGATAAGCTATGACACAATGGCAAACACCAACCGACCAGTCTGGGTGGATGGCACAGTCTTTCTGTTTCTCGTCTTAGGAGTTTTGCTGAATAGTTGGGAAAGTAGGACATGCTTCCCACTTAGTTACGTAGCGAAGAGCACAGGGGACAGACGTATCCATCTCTGACCTTGAGCAGGCTACACGTAGATGCACAAGGTGAGGGCTCAGAGGCTCAGGCTTGGCCCCTGCTCCAAGCCAGCTCTGCCCAGTTAGCAGGGCGACGACCGTTCATTCCTGAAACGGCTCAGGTTTTAAACCTGAACACAGCGTCTGCTGGAGCCCTGACGGTACCTGCACTTCCTGCATTTCGGGCGTGCCTGTTGAGGAGGTGCCTAGATGTGGAGCCAGGCCTGACCACACCCAGGGAAGGCACAGGGTTCCCCACCCAGGGTGTTCATGGACGCCAAGGCTGGACACAAGTCTATTGGCTGCTCATGAGGACTGTCCCTGCCCGTTGCTGACAGCTGCTCTCTGTCACCCACCTGTCCAGTGTGATTGCGCAGGCAGGTGGGCGATACCCGCCAGGACTCAGAGTGCCTTCCCGGAGGCGCCTGGGTTCATGCCAGGTCTCCCCCCTTGTGTCGTTTGGCTGACTTGTTTAGAATTTGAGTTACTGAATTTGAATTTGTAATTTAATTTTGGTTTCAGCATCATTCCAAAGGTTCTCACCTAGACAAAAGCTTTTGTTACAAAGACATTTGGGTTGGTAACTCTGCCTATAAGAAGTTCCTGTATGTTAAAAAGACATAGGAGGGGCCTGGTGTAATAGCCTGGTAGTTAAATCCTTGCTTTGCATCCACCAGGATCCCATATAGGCACTGGTTTGTGTCTCAGTTGCTCCACTCCGCATCCAGCTCCCTGCTTGTGACTTGGGAATGCAGTTGAGGACGGCCCAAAGCCTTGGGATCCTGCACCCATGTGGGAGACCTGGAGTTGATTCCTGGCTCCTGACTTTGGATTGCCTCAGCTCTGGCCATTGTGGCCACTTAGGGAGTGAACCCGCAGACAGAAGATCTTTCTTTCTGTATCGCCTTCTTTCTGTAAATCTGACTTTCCAATAAAAATAAATTTAATAATCTTTTTTTAAAAAAGACATTTAAGACTTTATTTTATGGTTGGCACTGTGGTATAGTGTGTAAAGCCACCACCTGCAGCGCTGGCATTCCATATGAGCACTAGTTCAAGTCCTGGCCTCTACTTCCTGTCAGGCTGCTTGGCCTGGGAAAGCAGCAGAGGATGGCTCAGGTACTGGGCCCCTGCACTCATGTGGGAGACCCAGAAGAAGCCAGTTTCAGTCCGGCCCTGCTCTGGCCGTCATGGCCGTTTGGGAAGTGAATCAGCAGATGGAAGGTTGCGTCTCTCCCTCTCTCTATCACTCTGCCTTTCAAGTAAATCAATATGTATATTTAAACAGCTCTTTAAGGACTGATGCTTTGCCTGGTGGTTAACATGCCAGCCTCCCACAGCAGAGTACCTGTGTGTGTCAGTGCACCTGCTCCGCACTCCAGCTGCCTTCCCTGGCGGCTCCCGGGGGCAGGGGTGGCCAGCCGTGCAGCTGACCTGGCTGGAGTTGGCAGCCCTGGGGCGGACCCAGCCCAGCCCTGACTGTTGAGTGTGTTTGCAGAAGGGGGAGCACATTTGCTTGCTCTCCTCAAATTTTATTTTTATTTAAACATGTTTCTAACATTTATATAATTACAAGTTTATATAATGTGATTGTCTTAAAAAAAAGATTCACTTACTTCAAAGGCAGAGTTACAGAGTTAATCTTTCACTTGCTGGTTCATTCCCCCAGAACCCCAAAGGCAGGGCTGGACCAGCTGGAGCCTGGATGACGGAGCTTCGTCCCGGTGTCCTCCGTGGGCGCAGGGGCCCAAGCACTGGGGCCGTCCTCTGCTCCTTTCCCCAGGTGCATTGGCAGGGAGCTGGTTTAGAAGTGGGGCAGCCGGAACCTTGGCTGGTGTCCACATGGGATGCTGGTGCCACAGGCAGTGGCAGCACGCGCTACACCACAGCGCCGGGCCCCCAGTGTCAGGACTTTGGAGAGAGAAAGCTGGTAATTTGCTAAGGACAGGTTAGCTTTTTATTTGTAACAGTTTTTAAAAATCAGTTATATTCCCAAGTTAATAATGCTTCACTTTCATCCTCTATTCTGAAAGTTTGTAAACTTTTTGTGTCTGGCTTAATCTAAACAGTTTCCACTGTTGAATACTGATGTACAAGGAGTGAGTAGAAGCCAAGAAAAGCAGAGCTGGTGGGAGAAAGCCTTGGACTCCCCCCTTTTCCCTGCATCGGACTGTGAAGGTAAGCACCCTTGGGTGATTCATTCATTCCAGTTCCCAAGTCGTTAAGGACAGCAAATCATTTAGCTGTGACTGTCGGTCCAGGAAGTGTCTGCGGGATGTTTCAGTGTGGCTGGCACCTTGTCAGCATCTGGGGCATCAAGAACTGGGCCATGCTGTCCTATGGCAGGGAAAGGCGTGAGTTGCCTGGGAACAGTGCCCCTCTGCTGAGATGTGTACCGGCCTCTTGGAGTGGCAGGGGAGGTCACAGTTGGGCAGCACTTCAGCACCTTCTCAAAGCCTGGGGCTGTGCAGGAGGCGGAGGAGCCGTGGTGACCTCTGGGTCCAGCCAGGAAGGACCCAGTGGGAGTTAAACATACACGAAGGGCGGGCTGGTTAGAGCAGTGTGCATTTAGAACTAAGCTAGCGACAGTGGCAATGGGAGCGACAGGCTGGAGGACCCTACCAGGGTTAGGTACCAACAGTAATGTGGGAGGGGTCAGGGCACGGTTGGCCAAAGCAGTCATAAAGGGAGTGACAAAGAGACCCTGTGAAGTGTGCTGGCTGGACGGCTCTCTGCAAGTATCTGGCAGTGGAGGACTGGGGGACACGGCTGGAACAAGAATGGCCATCCCAGTGGCTGAGCCCAGGGCACTGGGCTCGTGCAGTGTAGCCTTCATGGGAGGGTGGGGGACACGGCTGGAACAAGAGTGGCCATCCCAGTGGCTGAGCCCAGGGCACTGGGCTCGTGCAGTGTGGCCTTTGGAGCTTCTCTTGACTGCCACTTTGTTATTCTCCTCAGCCAGCTTTAAGAGGTACCACATGTATGTCATGTCTCCACAGCTAGCCAGTAATGAGCATGTAGCCGGTGACTGATGGCCCACACTGGCTGACACCTCAGTCAGGGCCTGGGCTCAGGAACAGGAGGCTGGGTGGATGGGTAGGACACTTTGGGAGCGCTTGCCTCTCTTGGTCCAGCTCCCATGCCTGCCTGCCTCATGCAGGGTTGGCCGAGTGTTCCCTGTCAACACCTTCGCCCCTTGCATGCTGTTGATTGCAAGTGCTCTGCCATCAGCCCCTGGTGGCAAGCCATTTATTGTTGGAAGATGCTCTCCGTCTCCTATACAAGCCCCGCCAAAGCCCGGGGGACGGTGTTCCCCTTCCCCCATTTCCCCCATTGAGAAAACTGTCTCTGATCAGGTGATCTGTGCAGCATCCTGCAGCTAGCCAGTGAGCAGAGGCTTCGGGGGAGCCTGTTTCCTGTGGTCCACAGGTGTTGTCCTACACAGCGGCTATGTGTGCCTTGTGCTCAGGTGTGCCCAGGCTGGTGACAGCACAGGAAGGGCATACCCAGAGCTGTGCCACAGAGGGGCCTCAGGAAAGGCTGCAGGGAGAAGGTCCACTGTGTGGTGGTAAGCAGCCCCTGGCGATGGTCATGCATGCTGAGAGCCGACTGCTGTTGCGGCACAGCCCCAGGGCACCAGTTGCACATCTTGGCTCTGGGTTCCTGGGTGTCTCGCAGTGTCCTGCTGGCTAAAGGGCTGTTTTTATGGTGTGTGTGTGTTTGGGATGGGGTGAAATGGCATGGGCAGAAATTCTCAGTGGGTAAATGAAACAAGCCAAAATTTTGAATGCCTTTGGCTGTCACCTGTAAGTGGGCTCCCTAAAGAGTTGCCTTGTAGCCACATGGAACAGTAGCCCTGTGCACTCACAGGGCAGGGACCTGAGAACAAAAGAAAGCAAGCAGGCAGCCACGCTCGGCAGAAGTGGCTGGCAGTCAGGTGTTTAGAGGAAGCACACAGCTTTCCACTCAGGGATGGAGCCTTCGGCATCTGTGAGAAGGAGGAGAGCAAGGCAGGGCCCGGGCCATGCTGACTGGCACGGGAGCCCATGCAGTTGGGCTGTGCACTAAGTGGGCCTGCCTCATTCTGGACACTGCATTAGGCTCTGGGAGTGCAGCGACACAGCGTAGCCCCCTGCTGTGCCTGTGCTGCTGGGGCAGTAGGGCAAACCACATGACAGTGGGGTGCAGCTCCAAGAAGAGTGTGAGTGGTAGAGACAGCCCTAGAGTGTATGTGTGTGGCAAGGACCAAGGCCAGCAGGGAGCCCAGCTGCAGGGTCCTTGCCAGCTGTGATGGCCAGCTGCAGAGCTTTGCCCTTGCCGATCAGTGGTAGGAAAGCTTGGTGGTGTCGGGGCATTGTAGCCTTTACACGGAGCCCCGTGGGGAAGCAGTGTGGACAGAGCTTGACCAGAAAACTGACTTGGAAACCAGGGCCTCTGTTGCACCTGCTAGACCTTGCGCCAGCATTGTCTGTGTTGGTAAAGGCGGCCGAAGGTCATGTCTTTCTGGTCGGGTGGGTGTGAGGGCAGACACAGAGCTGCACGGGCTGGACTGGCTCTTCCCCCAGGACAAATAGAGCGGTGCCGCAGCATCCTTCCAGACATCTGTGGCGGGACTGGAACTCTGTACTCACAGAATTCCTAGAGCAAGCACAAAAAGGAAAGGTCGCTGGAGATGGCTCTGTCCCCTCTGGGAGCACATCTTAGTACAGGAAGTCATCAGCTACCCAGCCACATGGCCTGGAGCTGAGCCAAGCTGAAGGTCTCTTAAAGACAGCTTCTGTGGTATAGAAGTTGTGCCCTGCAGAGCACCAGGTGCTGAGGCCCACCCCTGGGCCCAGGGCACTCAGGCCTTGCACTCAAGTGCTCCAGTCCGGTGTCAGGTTCAGGGACACTGAGCGGAGTGGGCAGCGGGGGGCAGGTGGTGTGCCCAGCAGTCCTGAGCCCGGCCCGCGGGTGGCCTTCAGTCGTACTGCCATGCGTCATATGCTGGCAGTGTACTGTCTGTCAAACACACAGATGAGGAAAGGTGGTGATGATACAACAGCACTGTGCTTCTAGGAGGCAAATCATCTCAGAACCACACAAGAAGTAGTGGACCTGGAATTGGCGGAAACCTGTCAGAACCCCAAGCTGGAGTCATGACCCCGAGCTATACCCTGAAGTACCTTAGGCCCTCAGACAAGAACAGGCTGTGGAGAGTCTCCACGGGGCCAGGACATTCAGGGAGGGGTACGGGGGGCCCAGGCAGCCTGGCCGGGGCACAGACTGCCTGCAGAGGCCAAGGGCTACAGCGGGCAGTGAGGCTGACCTCGGTGTTTGGATTGGTGCATGGGGTGGGCATGTGGTTAAGCAACTTGTGGCTACTCTCCAGGCAGGGATGGGTGCTGTCCTGGCAGTAGGATAAATGTTGCAGGCTCATAGATTGGGCCTTTCTGAGCCCGTGCACACCCTCTATCCCCCCCCAACCTGCCACAGCCATCACCTTTGTGGACTCAAGGGGAGTAAGGGCTGTTCTAGCTTGAGACCAGACATCAGTGCAGGGTGCACTACACCCCCAAAGCCGCTGGGTCCCCAGGAAATACAGATACTGCACCCCCCAGACCAGTGCAGACAATCTGCAGGGAGATGAGGTCCTGGGTCCCCGCTTTCTGAAGTTCTGAATGTTGCTGAGAACCAGTGGGTGCCCCAATTCCAACCGCCATTTCCTTCTCCTTGGGTCCGTTTGCCCACTCAAATCTCCAGCCTCATTTCCCTCGGTGCTCCACAGAGGAAGCACGCAGTGGGCGTGGGGCTGAGCTGAGGGAGAACGGACAAAGGTGTTACCCCTTGTGTGTGCTGCGTTGTGCTCCTGCTGTCTGGAGTTCCAGGACCATGTGTCTGGTGCCCTGTCTGTCTCCCTCCACGCCACGTTTGTCCTTGAGAGCCCAAGGCCTGTTGGTCTGTTCCCCGACGTGCCCAGGGCCGTTGGAGTGACAGGGACCTGTGGCTGTGCTGGCTCGGGGCTCGCAGGCCAGCGCCCTCTGCCGTGTGCTCTGAGCCCAGCTGGCGTGCCATGGGTGAGTGCCCTGGCACTCTCCACAGGGTGGGGAGGCCCAGCTGAGGGACGCTTAGCAAACAGCGAAGCAAGGATGTGTTTCATAACTGTGTCTTAATGGAATTTCCCCCTTTCCCTCTTTTCCCTTCTCCATTCAAAATGATTAAGAATGTTATACAAATGCCAAGGGAGAGAATGGTATAGAAGAATATCCAGACGTTAAAGAAATACCCAGTAATGAAGAGCGTCTGTTAGATTTTAATAGGGTAAGTGGACTGTCCTCCTCCTATTAACTTCAAGATGACCACCATCCTCCTTGTCACTCTAAAACCTGGGAACCAAATGAGGCCCTGCCCAGCTGCCCCAAGTCACCAGGAGCTGTGTCAGAACTTCTTCCCCACCTGGCCGTGTGCTGCCAGCTTCCTTAGTGCCCGCTGCTGGCATTGCTAAGGTCTATCACGCCCCCCACCCCCAACCACTGCGCAGTGGGCTCTGCTCCTGTGCCTGGCCACAGCCCACCTCAGACTGTCCTGTTGCAGCCGTGGCTCTGGGCTCTCTGGACACAGCCCCTTCCTGACAGGCTGTGACCGCCTTGAAGGGGCAGGGAGCAGAGCCTCCACACGCCTGGTCTGGCCCCAGCCCTTCCCAGTCAGGAAAGTGGATGAGTGGATGTAGGACTCGTGTTTCTTCTCACTGTTGCTTGTCAGTGTGGGTTTAGGTCTTTCAGGATTTTTCTCCCAGAGTTACCCGTAGTGCTGGTGCCTACGTCCTGCTGGCCATTGGGCTGCCAGACTGACCATGGCACAGCTGCTAAGGGTCCCACTGACCGCAGACTTGTGGTGAGAGTGGTTCCGCCCCCTTTCCTGGCATGCTGCCCACCAGTCCCCTCACTTGCCTACCACTGCAGTCCCCTAACCCCATGGCCTTACCTCTAACCCCTCCTGGATGGCAGCCCCAGCCAGTTCACTGTTGGCCTGCTTCGCATGCCAGGCCAGTGGTTCCAAGTCCTTGCAGCCACCCTGTGAGGAATGCTGTGGCTGTGCCTCTCTGCAGACCAGAGGTGACCCACCGGGCCGAGCGGTGCCCCCGACCCTGGGGCCAGCCCGACTCCCGAGCTCTGTAAGGCGTTGTGTTTGCCCCATCTGCTCTGTCTGTCTGCTCTCTCACTTCGTGTGGCTTTCCTGAGCCCCTGCCTCAGAGCCTCGAGAGGGACAGTGCTGTCATTGGGTGCTTGTTAGTGTGGCTGGCATCTGGGGGCCAGAGATGCTGACCCTGTGGCGGGGGGGGGGGGGGGCCTGTCCCGCATAGCAGTTTCTCTAGGAGGCGGCAGGGGTCAGACCCCAGTGTGCAGGAGTGTTCTTGAGCAGCGGTAGGTGCCTGGCACTGAGAGCATCCTCCAAGCACCACCTGGGACCCGTCATCCTCCAGAGGCGCCCCTTGTAAATGGCCGTGGGTACCCCTCACAGGCGGCTGTGGCTTCTCCTCACAGGCAGCCACGGCAGTTCCCTCATGGGCTGCTTTGAGTCCCGTCACAGGCAGCCGTGTCTGCGCAGGCAGCCGTGGGCGTCTCCTCACAGGCAGCCGTGTCTGCGCAGGCGGCTGTGGGCGTCTCCTCAGAAGCAGCGGCGGGCATCCCTCGCAGGCGGCCGCGGTGCGGCTGCCCCAGAAGTCGGTCTGTGCGCTCCTTCATCCTGTCTCATTGTGCAGCCCCGAGGGGGCGGCCGTGCGCGGGCGCCTGGCCGGGAGGGGTCAGGGCCTTGGCGCATCGCGGAGGGGCGTTCGCTCGGAGCCAGCAGAACTTCCACAGGAAGGCAGCGCCGTCTGCTATCCGGACGTTTTCATGTGTTGGAACTTGTTTCTGTGCTCGCAGGTGTCTTCTGTTTATGAAGCTCGGTGCACGGCGGACCGGGACCCCGGCGCGCCCTCGGGTGGCTCCGCGGGCAGCGGCGGCGCGGCGGACGCGGGCTCGGATGGCGGCTGGGTGGAGCCCCGCGCCCAGGGGATCTTCTCGCGCACGCATCTCTAAGCTGGGCGCAGAGCGGCGCGCGACGGGAAGGTACCCTCGGGAGGCCTGTGGATCCAAGACACCTAGGGTTCTTCAATTAACTGACTCCGATCAGTACTTCTCTCCTCTTGCTTATATTAGAGTTGAGGACAGCTATCCTGTTGACGATTTTTTTTCCAAGCTGTTAACTTCTTGGCTATTTGAAATAGACTAGATCGTGTTGTCAAACCAAGAATGGGTGTGCATGTGCTTGTCTTAGAAGTTCCACTGCTTTCTGCCTCTTCACTGCAGTCACATCGCTGTCACCTTAGAGCATTGCAGTGTCCGCAGCCGCTTCTGTCGCGCGGAGCCTGGCCTCGGCCAGCCTGGGGTTCTGGGACCTCGGGTCCGCAGTCCGTCCCTGCAGCCGGGCCAGTGCCTCCTGCCGGCGGGGAGGGCAGAGGGGGCTCGCAGCACTGGAGGAAGGAGTGTTCTCCGGGCTTTTCCCTTCCCAGACATCCTGGGAGATTCTGTGGTTCGTGACTTTTTTTTGCTGACCGACGGAGTTAGGGATTGGCAGTTGAGTCTCAGTGGGTGAGACACACAGCCCTCCCCAGCCTTCTGCTGTTCCATGTACACCAGAATCCACCACAAGGCCCCTTCAGTCGTAAATTATTTTCTCATCAATCATTTTCAATTGAAGCCCCCAAAACTTGAAGCATAAACATTTGACGTGCAGAAGAGCCCTTCTCAGCCGGAGGGGCCTTTGCTTGCTGCAGCCGGCCACACTGTGGCTGGCATGTAGGTGAGCTTCTGGCTCATCTTGGTTAGAGAGTGCCCTGGTGGGCTGGGGCAGGGAGAGAACACTGCCTGTGCCTGTGCAGCAGCTGTGACCACCGCATCTGTGGCTCGCCTCCAGCCTTGCCTGGTGTGCCCAGGGCTCAGGACGTCTGGTGAGAGGCGGGCTGTGTCCAAGCCCGATGGTGACCTCCAGCTGTCAGCATACTGTGCCACAGGCTGAAGCTGGGAGAGGCAAGGTCTGAGAAACCTAAAGGTTTTGAGTTGTTTTTGGTTTTTTGACCAACTCATTTTTAAACATGCCTGACATCAGTTCAGCATGTCTGTGACCTCGGAGTGCCAGGGAGCCTGCTGTGGGCCGGCCGGCTTCCCTGCTGCCAGGGTGCGCAGTGACCAGACAGGTGGCTTGCTGGCTGGGAGCTGAACTGACTGCGACGCAGGATTTGCTTTGAGCCTCTGGGTTTGTTGCCTTTTCCTTAATCCCGAGAGAGGCGCCCCGGGGCTGGGGAGCCCGGGAGGGCACGGGTCCTCACTGGGACTCGTGCGTTAGGGTTACTTCTATACAGCACATCTTTTGACACTTTAAAGTGGGTGTGTGCGCTCATGTGCGTGTGTGGGGGTGTGTGTGCGCATGTGTAAGGTTTTATGTTGCTGTTATTTATTTATGGACTTCAGATAAGTGTTTAAGTATTCTTTCTTCTGGAGCTTCCTCAAATTTGATTAGCATCTGCACTGAATTCTTCCTAAACAGCAAAGGCAAAAATGATTAGAAGTTGTAAATCCCCAAAGTTACAGCGGTGGCGATCATCCCGGGGCCACCCGTTGCTCCTGCAGCCGAGCCAGGCCAATCCTGGGGAGCAGACTCCCGTGCCGTGGGGACAGGCTTGCAGAGGGAAGAGGGAGCCCCCACTGTGTGTGTGTTCACGGCTCGGCAGTCAGAGTGTAGGCTCTCGGCTGCGGAGCTGAGCGTGGTTTTGGTTTTGTGAATGGATGATCACCAAGAAAAAACATTACAAAAAAATTGGCAAACGCTGAGACGCACTGTGGCATGAAGCGTGTTGCATTTCCGTAGCACTGAAGCTTCAGTCTGCTTTTCCGGACTGAGAGTTTCCCCGTGGTTGTATTGTTCTGATTTTCACTGACACCAGAGGAACGGAGGTTTTTTTTTTGTTTGTTTTCTTGTGGAGTTAACACCAAATAAAAAATGGAAAGAAAAAAAAAAAGAAAAAACCAGTTTGCTGTTTTTCTTTATTACAACAAAGATTCTTCTGGAACAGCCAGCTGCCTGTGAGTTGGTAGCAGGTGAGAGGACTGACTCCACCCTGCCAAGTGACCTTGCCAGGGCGACCCTGCTTCTGTGGCAAGGGCCACCCTTCCCAGCCCCAACACGCAAAGCTACTCTAAGTCTCTCATAAAAGCACAGGGGTGGGGTGGGTGGTGGGCAGTGCCATGGTTTAGGTGGGTTAGACTTCTGCCTGCAGTGCTAGTATCCCATATGGGCAATGGTTTGAGTCCCAGCTGCTCCACTTCCAGTCCAGCTCTCCCTGCTAACGTGGCCTGAGTGTTTGGGTCCCTGCACCCACCTGGGAGACCTGGAGGAGGTTCCTGGCTCCTGGCTTCAGGATGACTCAGCCCTGGCTCTTGTGGCCATTTGGGAATGAACCAATGGAGGTGCGCTCTGTCTCTAAGTCTGCCTTGCAGAGAAAAAGTAGTTACACACACACACACACACACACACACACACACACACACTCTGTGTTGCCGGGCTCAGTGCTTTGATTTTCTTGTAATATAGATCTGCACATGTTACGATGAGGGTTGCTGGTTAGGAGAAGTGGGTGTTTGTGAAGCCAAGGAAAGTGGGACTCACCTGGCCACCAGGCATCCATACCCACACACAAGCCCTGGGTTGGATGTGCCATCCCTTCCCTGGCCCAGGGCTGCAGCGTTGCTGTCCTGGCTGCTCAGTCCCCAGTATCTGGTCCAGTCTGACATGACACCTTGCCGTCGTGTGCCCTGTGTCGGCAGCACTGCATTGCATACCCTTGCATGAGGTGCCTGCCACCTGGCATGGCTCCGCCCACACACGCAGCCCTGTGGCCCTGCCACCTGGCATGGCTCCGCCCACACACGCAGCCCCGTGGCCCTTCAGGGCCTGTTTGTTTCTCTCTCAAGATGCGTTAATCTGTAAGAGTTACAGAGAAGAAGGGAGAAGCAGAGCATCTTCACTCACTGAGTTGCTCTCCACAGGCCTGCATGGCCAGGACTGGGAGGCCGGAAGCGAGGGCCAGGAACTTCCTCTCACTTGCATGGCAGTGCCCAGGCACTTGGGCTGTCCTTGGCTGCTTTTCCCAGAGCAGCAGCAGGGAGCTTGGTCGGAATGGGGACCTGTTGGGGCGGTAGGGGAGCTGGCTGCACAGTTAGTGCTTGACCGTTTTTTCTGGTTTCTGGGGTGTCTGCGTAGTGTTCTCTACACCTTAAAACGATACAGCTATTCATCTGTACATTCCAAGAAGCTGTGTGAACCCCGAAAAATTGGAGATGAGTTTATTCAGTGCAAAAACTTCTGAAGTCCATACAGTGTTTTTCTTTTTTCCTTTTTTTTTTTTTTAAGATTTTTCATTTATATTTATTGCAAAGTCAGATATACAGAGAGAGGAGGAGAGACAGAGAGGAAGATATTCTGCCCGTTGATTCACTCCCCAAGTGATCACAACAGCTGGTGCTGTGCTGATCTGAAGCCAGGAGCTCGGAGCCTCTTCCAGGTCTCCCACATGGGTGCCGGGTCCCAAGACTTTGGGCCGTCCTTGACTGCTTTCCCACGCCACAATCAGGGAGCTGGGTGGGAAGTGGAGTAGCCGGCCCCACACGGTGTTTTTCAAAATACACATTTGCTGTGCACTTTTTGGAGACAGCTTGCCTTCTGCCACCAGGCCTTGTCTTTTGCACCTGTGTATGTTGTACACAAGGCACGTGGCGTTAGCATCTGCCCTGTGCCTTTCCCGCAGAGCCCGCCAAGCGCCTGCTGCCGCTCCTGTACACTCTTCTCAGAGGACAGGCCTGTTTGCTTTGTGGTCTGGGCTAAGTCAACCCAAGAAGCCACAGACGCTGAAAGGGATCCTCTGTGTGGGACTCAGGCTGGGTCTGCTCTGGCTGGTGCCAACCCCATCCTGTGGGCTGTGGCTTGGGTGCCCTGCTGGGGCAGTACAGTGCCCAGCTGTTCCACACACCTGAGGGCATTTATCACTGGCTTTGCCTGTGGCTGGTGTCAGCATGTGCCAGTGCCATGCCAGAGGTCTTTTCCTGTTGGTTCAGAGACGGCCTTGTGGACTGCCAACTCCACGTCACCATGTCTGTTTCCAAGGACGGCACTTCTGGCTCCTCAGTGGTGTGTCCCCAGAGTGTCAGGAAAGGGGACAGCCATCACCAGGCTCTCGGGCTTCAGCTGCTGCCACCGCAGAGCCACTCAGCAGGCCCCAGCAGCTGGGCCGTGCCTGGGAGGACTGGGAGAGAGGAGCTGCCAAGGTCAGGGAGAGAGCTGCACCCCAGAGCCTGCCGCTGGTCCGTCCTCACGAGCGTGCTCAGCGACAGCTCCTGCTGGCGACAGCAAGCTTCATGTGCCAGCCTGCTGGCGACTGACCGCTCTGAGAGGCAGGCGCGTGAGCTCACGCTGGGCCCCGAGGACAGAGGCCACGTGGTCCTCTGCAACTTCCCACTGCCCGTACCCCTCATGAGGAAAGTATGTGTGTAGAAGGGGTAGGGGTTGCAGCTGCATCTACCAGGCAGCCTTTTGCTGACGGCTGTGGGTGATGGCATTCCCAGGAGGCCTACCCCTGGCCGTGTGTGCTTGGGCCAGTTCCTGTCCAGGGTGTGTCCGATGCGGGACACACCTGCAAGCCATGGGCCCCGCACAGCAAAGGTAGGGACATCCTTAACTGGGGCCACAGAGACCTTGGGCGTCTCTGCCTGGGCTCAGCAGAAGTCAGTCCTACAGATACGGGCACCCTGACCATGGTCACACGACAGTCATGTGGCTGGCGCAGGCTCCCTCTCCCTCTGAAGTGAGGCCACGCTGGCCCTGCAGGATAGGACACCAGTTCCTCTGACTGTCTCTGGCTCCTGGTGGTAGCTAAGGCAGACAGCAAGGGCCAAAGGTAACCATCAGCCACCGCCATGCACTGGACTTCAGCTAAGGGCAGGGCATTTGGCATCCGGTCTGCTGTTCCAGTGGCCCCGTTAGGGATGGGTTGGCACCTTCTTGCCCTCCACCATCTGGGAGATTAGAACGGGCCTCGCGTCCCAGCTGAGGGGGCGTAAGAGGTCAGTCCTCAGAGTGATCCTGACACCAGGCACCCAGTGCCCGTGTTGGCAGGCAATGTCCCCTGCTAGGATGTGTGACCCTGAGCCAGTGGCTGTCACCCTAGTCCTCCTGGGCCCCCACATACTTCTTCCCACCTCCTGTCACCCAGAAGCCTGGGGTACAGGGCAGGGGAAGCAGGTCAGGCTTGCTCTGAGAACTCTGGGCTCTCTGGCCTGCCATGCTTTGGCCCAGCTGTGTGGCTGCGGTCCCTGGGCCTGCCCAGTGGCCCTGGCTGTCACCAAAGCTGGTGAGTCTGAGGCTGTCAGAGTTTCAGAGCCACCTGCACAAACTGAGAGGCCGGCTCTGCTTGCACCTTGCCCCCGGCCCACCCCACTGTGTCTGCTCCTTCAGTTAGACCTGCAGTGTCAGGTCCTCAGGGAGCTGGAACCAACTGCAGGCTGAGGTCTGGGCATGCCCAGGCGAGCCCATGAAAGCCCATGGTGGCCTGGCCTGGCATGGAGGAGGCTCTGGGCTGGAACCTGGGAGGACCAGTACTGGAGGCTTAGGCCAGCTTTGTGGACAGAAACAAGCGCCGAAGTCACCTTGGGTAACATGCCATGCACCCCAGGCTCGCTGGACTTTGAGTCGGTCCTGGGCCTGACTCAGCTGCTCCCGCGGGTGGCCAGACAGCTCCACTCTGCTTGGGCCCCCATGCCTGTGATCACAGATGGCAAGCTGCGGGCCAATGAGGACAGCCAGCCTCCCCTGTGGGCTGCCTGGTACGTGCACCACCTCAAGTGAGCACAGGCGGGGCTGGGGCTCTGACAGGTCAGGGCCCTTGCCAGGGCCATGACCTGAGTGGCAAGCCCTGACTGACAGCTGTGGTGTGGCCACACTGCTGTTCTTCCCAGTTTGTCCCCCAAACCATGTCTGTGCAGGTCACCCTGGCCATCCTTGAAGCAGCCACTGCCTTCTGAAAGCCTTCCCAGGAATGCTGGCTGAGCACGAGGGAAGCCACATTTTCCTGCCACCACAGTTGGGCTCCTTGGCAGTGTGGCCAGTGGGGGTGGGGTTGTCTGCAGGTGGGGTGTTTTCATGCTGCTGAACCAGGGGAGAAGTGGCACCTCTGGAATGTGGTCAGTGGAAGGGCTGGGTGGGGGTGATGTGAGGCCTCACAGAATGATGGGGCAGGAGGAAGGGAGGGCAGAGGGCTCCTGTGCTGGGGGATGCCTCAGGCCCAGCCCTGGGGGTTAGCAGGTGCAGAGGGCCCAGTGGTGTGAGGCCCTCTGGCCTGCCTCCCACCTGCAACAAGAGTTGCCACTGAGGGTTGCACCCATGTGTGCCAGCAGCAGTGCTGACAGACAGCTGGAGCGGCCATGTTCCTGTGGGACGGCATCTCGGAGTCTGAGGTGAGGTTACCATGGTGACTGCAGGGCCAGGCAAACAGGGTTCAGACTCACTCGTTCCTTCATGCAGGAGCTGTGTGGGGGGAACCTGCTGAACCCGGGGCTGGTGATACACCTCACCCGCTGTGAGAACAAAGATGGAGACCACTGGTTCATTCTCCACATCCCCACAGGAGCCGGGAACTGGGGTCTCCCCTGTGGGTGAGCAGAGGCCCAGCCAGCATGAGCCGTCACTGCTGGCTGCCCCCTCCCCACACCTGCCGCAGCAGGAAGCTGGACCTGGGGGTTGAGCCAGGATTGAGTGCCCCTCCCCAGATACGGCATATTATAGATGGTGTATGTTTAGTCACAGCTGCGAGAGAATCTACTCCGCAGATGGCCGCAGTGGCCAGGGCTGGGCCAAGCTGAAGACAGAGGAAATGCCACTGGGTCTCCCGCATGGGTAGCAGCCCAAGGCCTTGAACCATCCTCTGCTGCTTTCCCGGCCATTAGCAGGAAGCTGGATGGATGGCAAGGGGAGCAGCCGGCACACGCACAGCTATACCTGCTGCACCACAGCACAGCCCTGGTATGCTGGCGTCAACCTAGGCCAGTCACCTGCTCTCCTGACCCTGTTCCTGCCAGTGGGATCAGTTGCCGCTCACCTCTTTTAGGGAAGCTTCACAGGCTCACAGGATGAAGCGGGTGGAGCCCACAGGTGTCCCTGCAGCAGGGAGCGAGGGTCTGAGACAGTGTGGGGTGTAGCTGCCCTGTCCAGTCGGGGCCCAGGTCCCTGTGGT